CCACCTTTCTCGTCGATGATGCTGCCCAGATATGTGAAGGTGTTAACGTCCTGCAAGGCATCTCGATCAAGAGTGATTTGGTTGGTGCATGTTGTGTTGCATCGGAGAATTTCGTTTTTTCCTTTATGTATGTTGAGACCTACTGCTGCAGAGACTGCAGCCACATTGGTCGTCTTCTCTTGCATTTGTTGTTGCGTGTGCGATAGAAGAGCCAGGTCATCTGTGATGTGCAGATCGTCCATCTGCATCCTAGCTCTCCACTGAATACCGTGCTTCAATTCAGATGCTGACATCTTCATAATCCATTCGATCACCAGGAGAAAAGAACCCTGCCTATATATATATATATATATATTTATATATATATATATATAATTTACAAAATAAACTGCTCAAATACGAAAAACACTACATCGGATAAAGTGGACACCCTCATTAGCTTCGCCTACATGACCATCAGTTGTCAGCCAACCGACATGACAATTCTTCGCTAATATCAATACATACGGACAATTATGGACATAAATTCGACTGGAACAATATTGCATGTGAGGTGCACAAAGAACACTAGGGCAATTTTTAGAAGCTTGGCACTCAGATCGATCAACAATCAACAAACAAATTGACACTTACCTAATTTATGAACCACTCAAGAAAAAATCATAAGCAAACATAAGATCACGAAACAAATCAAAGGGGGGATACAATCAAAACAAAGGTGCAAACAACGTCAAGGCTGAGCTTAATAACAACCAATCAAGATAGAGGTTGACAGAACAAGCTACAAGTCATACATGGAGAAATTCGAATACTTCAGTTCTGATACTTGACTTTTGTGCTACTGATGTTGTTCAGAAAAAGAACAATGAAAGCTCAACAACGCGAAAACATCCAACTCATGGAATGGAACTCCACCATAACCATCCACTTAAGCAACAAATTTTCTTCACCATCTTGTAAATAAAATTGATTACTGAATATAAATAAGTAGTATAAATCAATGCATAAGAAAAAAGAGAAGTCAAGAAGGAATAATGACAGTAAACGTAAATAGACTGGATAGTTCTCATGCTAATCATTAGGCTTTTTATTATTGTTGACACGAAATAGTTATTAGTCAACATAATGCAAGATTTTCTACTACATCTTCTGATTAATACTGCAATTTTCTTTCGAATCAATGGTTCATAAAGTATTGACTGTTCTTAATTACCAACTTACTCCTGTTACACCTAATGCATTCCTAATGAATGTAACAATCGTACTTATCGGTTATATGCTGTTATTGGATTGTTTAATTGGTTAAGTGGTCCAGTAGTTAGGCGTTCGCGCGCAAGATCGACGGTCCTGGATTCCACTACTGAAAGTATCAGGATTCGTGAATGCGCACTTCTGATAAGTCCTATGCCATGACGAAATGTCCATCCTTTAATTCTTTTTAAGTTCCTCTTAGTGGTCTAATATTGATTATCAGTTCTCGATCTAAATGACACTCATTAATCTTTACTGCCGTATAATGAAAATCGATACCTATCAATGATATAATCTTCTCTATTTTCGGGCAGAGTTTTGGAGGTTTTGTGTTTTTACACATTTGAAATCATCAATCAATCATTGTTAGACCACCATCAGAAACCTGGAAGCACTGAAACACGACCGTTTCTTCCTTGTATGGGACTCATCAGCGGCAGTGCGCATCCACGACTCCTGCACCTCGCAGGATTCGAACCTGGGACCTTCAGTATTGTGCGCGAACGCCTAACCATCGGGTGTAGGCAGTAAGTACCAAAGACAAATGAGTGTGGTCGCGCAAAAATTCGTACATCAATCAGAGTTAGACATTAGCACCGTTGGATGCCGGCCCAGTGGTCCGATGGTTAGGCGTTTGCGCACAATACTGAAGGTCCCAGGTTCGAATCCTGCGAGGCACAGGAGTCGTGGATGTGCACTGCTGATGAGTCCCATATCAGGACGAAACGGCCATCTTTCATTGCTTGCAGGTTTCTAATGGTGGTCTAAAAATGATTGATTGATGATCTCAAATGTGATATAATCTTCGATTGATAATCATTTTATTTAGCATAAAATTATTTTAAACTGTAAATTTTTTTTGCAAATCAGGTTGAAATACCAGCAATGGAAACAACATACTGGTGTAAAACAATTGAATTGCCTTATTTCTCAAAGAAACATCATTTAATTAAGGTAAATAAATGATGAGTATTTGTTTCTTTTTTTTTAAGAATTATTGATCTGTCATAATCAATACGTCTTCTGGTTTTTTTATTAGAGTTCGTCAGTAGGTACGCTTGAAGCTATTACGAGTTCACCTTAGTCGATAAACGTGAACGAGACAATTAAGCAGCATCCAGAGAGGCTACCTTGAGTCCCAAGCTGAAGATAGAAGGCTTTGTAAGCGTAGAATGTATATTTTACAAACACCCAATAATCACAATACAATCAAGCATACAACTCTCGTTTATTTATACATCATAGAAACGTCCTTGGGACAGTTACGAAAATAGCACACTAAAATACACGGCAGCCAATCACAACCATCCATGGATTTTCCTGGTGGGAATTGAAATCTCAAGATCAACTGATCAGTCCATGCTCGCAAACATGGAATCCAAAATAAGGCATTTATTTATCAAGCAAGTTTTGGGGATCTAATATCCCCAATAAATTCATTTAAACAGATACCGATCTAAAAAATGTTCACTTTTCAGTTATACGGTTTATCTGGTGGTAATTCTAACTGTTTCTGTACCTAAGCTTAAATCGATAAGTCAACAATCGCTCTATAACCTATTTTGATTGAAATCCAAATGCCTCAAATAATTTAGCCATCCACTGACTAGACAGCATCAGTAACAACCTACTGTAGGAGAGAACAAATCAGATACTAGCCGAGGAAGAAGCTCTGGAAGTAGATAGGACACACACTACGAAAAGCACCTAACTGCGTCACAAGACAAGCCCTCACATCGAACCCTCAAGGCCAATGGAGAAGAGGAAGGTGAAGAAACACATTACACTGAGAAGTGAAGACAGACATGAGAAGAATGAATAGAAATTGGGAAAAACTGGAAAGGCAATCTCAAGACGGAGTAGGTTGGAGAATACTGGTCGGCGGCCTATACTCCATTGGGGGGTAACAGGCGTAAGTAATTAAACAGAAGTATATAGAAAAAATAGTGCAATATTTCGAAAGTAATGGATACCATTCAGAGAACACTAAATTTGATATTTTAATATGATTTTGGGATTTTCCCAAGTATACAGACACATGCAACATTATATCTGAGTAGGCTCCAGAAATGAAACGATTAGATCTCGTAGCGTGTGTACAAATATGACCAGTCCACCAGATTTGTCTGATCATAAATACTTAGTCGTGCCTTATCACACTGAATCGTCACATTCGTCTTCTCAGTTTCACTTTATTTCTCTTTCCCCAGTTCTTATCCTCATGTCTGTCCACATGGACGATTGCATGAAATAAACTCATCCGCAAAACTGTATTTGGCTTCTTAATACCTCTGTCGTACAAACAAGGTTCACCTAAGAATGATTTATGGAAATTAAATGAAAGATCTATTTCATAGGATCCAAGGCCACCAAAAATCTTCTCAATAACTTGAATTTATTCGTTGTTATCAAGTTATACAATACAATAACAAAGGTGGTAATTTTATTCAACAAGTGTTTATTAACAGTTGTCTACGCAAAATACTTCGGATTCGTCGGCCAGACACCATCAGCAGCAACCTTGTGCTTTTATGGGTAAAAGGGTGGGCGTTAGTTCCCGACTGCCCACACCGTTCAAGGGTTCTGGTTGTCAGAAGGGGGGAACCGACCTCGTGACTTCCGAAGGAACTCGGCTTTTATCATCAGACGTCATAATTCTTCAAAATAATGACCTTCTAACTCCCAGAGCAGGGGTTACATGATTTGAATTATTTTTTCTTGTTAAAGATCTTTTCGCGAGTTAGTTTTTTGCGGAATGGGGTCGGCAACTCCACGCCCAACCCTCCTCCTTTATCTAGGCTTCGGACCCGCAGTAATCTCGGAGGGCTTACAGGCGGAGTTCGCAACAACCTACAGTTGAGAGAATAAATCAGGTACCAGCTTGGGAAGAAACCAAGAAAAGTGCTGGAAGTGGATAGGACACACATTGAAGAAAGCACTCAACTGCATCACAAAACAAGCCCTCACTTGGAATCCTCAAGCAAAAGTGGAAGACTAAAGAACACTTTACATCGAGAAATGGATACAGACATGAGAACTGACATGAACAACAATTGGACAGAACTAGGAACGAAAGCCGAAGACAAAGTAAATTGAAGAATGCTTGTCAAGGCCCATGCTCCTTTAGGGGTAATAGGCAAAATTTAGTAGGTACGTAAATAAGTAATATCATTCAACGTCTGGAGTTACTTAAAGTGTGTGAATAAATAATCAACACTTATTTTCAGGTTAGTTTTATTCACTTATCTGATAAATGTCTATCATACTTGATGTGAACTAAACAAGCAACCATTAAAAACACTGGGACATCGCTCATTCGAAAAAACATTATTCAATTAAGTATTTCTAATTTCTGATATTAGTAATAATTTTTACACATTTGAAATCACCAATCAATCACTGTTAGACTATCATTAGAAATCTGAAAGCACTCAAACACGGCCGTACCGTACCCGGTATAGGACGCATCAGTGGCGGTGCGCATCAACGACTCCTGCTACTTGCAGGATTCAAACCCAGGAATAGCAGGAGTCGTTGATGCTCACTGCCACTGATGAGTCCTATACCGGGTACGGTACGGTCGTGTTTGAGAGCTTTCAGATTTTGAATTGTGGTCTAACAATGATTGATTGATGATTTCAATGTGTAAGAATATTGATCTGCATAACTCTGATTGAAAAAAAACAATAATTTTTTTCAAAAGCAAAAAATTCCATTGTTTGTTTCTCGTTCTATTTAAACAAATCAAGTATGAAAATGATATACCAGAAACAAGTCAAGGATTGATTCATCATATGGAAGTGTTTCGTTGTCCTGGACATCACATACGTCAATATAATGCACCTTGTAATTCAGAAACAAAACCAGACGATTTAATTGATTGTAGAGAAGTTATAGCAGCATGGGCTATGGGATCAGCTGTAAGTTAATTGTCTATTTACTACTACTTCTACTACTACTTCTACTACTACGCACACTACTACTACTACTACTACTACTACTACTACTACTACTACTGTAGTCCAAGAGAACACATGTGGGGCAATCGAATTGTATTTAACGAAAATTACAGAGTTACTTAGTAAAATAGGAAAACCATATCGTAACCGTTAATTTGCAAATCTTCAATCAATCATCAATCCATTATCTGACATTTCACTATTCATGCGTTTCATACAAATTCCATTGTGTTCCCACTCTTCCTTTCTTGATCTTCTCCCATCTTCTGCTGCCAGACAATACGTTTACACTCGCGTCATATACTACTTATAAGTAGCGCACACCACACTACTACTACTTGATATTTTCTCTATTCAAAATTTGAAATATGGATCTAAACAGAGGAGCCCATAGGGTTTTTGGGCAAATTAATTTAGTCCACTCAATATTCACTCGTCTAGTGACCTTGTCAATCATTCTCTCTTAAGCTTGGTTGCTTTTATTCATGTGTTTGAGTGCACGGGCATCTATCTCGCTTATTACATGTCTGGCTTATTTTGTCTCACTAGAAATGCTTAGTGATGTTTCATCGCCTTCTTCACTTCACTTTACTCTGCTTGTACGTTTTTCATTCTTATTTCTGTTTAAATGAAGGAATGCCTGCAGTAAACTCATCCAAACGAATCCACATTTCGCTTTATATTAACGCTGTCGTACAAACGTGGTTCGTTTAAGTATAATATACGGAAAGTGATGAAGAGATTTATTTCGTTACTTACTTACTTATGCCTGTTAACCCCAATGGAGCTTAGGCCGCCGTTCAACATTCTCCAGCCTACTCTCTTCTGGGCTTTCCTTTCCAGCTCTGTTAAATTTTTGTTCACTCTTCTCATGTACGTCTCCCACATTGTTCTAACGCTCCATGTACCTAAAAGAATGGTTGCTTTGGTTGTCAGAGGGGGCATCGGCCTGGTGACTTCCGAAGGAATTCGGCTTTCGTCATGAGACGTCATAATTCTTCTGAATGAAGACCTAACTCCTAGGGCAAAGTTAAAATTATTTGAATTATATTAACTGGTTAGCGTTTTTTGGCGAGTCAGTTTTCTACGCGATGGGATCGCCAACC